CCCGGGGGGAGAAAGGCCCGATGCGAAGCGCTGGGGACCGAGGTGGCCAATCATCATCAGCACTGGTTTCCCTGGAACGACCTCAGCTACCGGATCACCCTGGGGCCTTCTTCTTTAGCAAGCGTGCAAGACAGAAGGATGGCCAGGCCAGTCCTGAGTGTGGCTATTTTTAAAAGTTGGTTTTCATCCTAAGAGCCATAGAATCACCGTATAAAATGTCTGAAAATTGAGAAAAGAAAAAGCGCACTCATCAGTACGCTCTGCTAGCATACTGGTGTCCCCTCCTCTCAACCTGCGCTGTTCCACACGGTGCTGCTGGCCACATGTGCTATTTAAATTTCTATTAACCAATATTACGTAAAACTAAAAATTTGGCAGCTTGGTTGCACTCGCCGCCACGTGAAGCTGGTGGCTACCGTGTTGGGCGACACAGATCCAGACTCTCTTGGAGGAAGTCCCCTTGGGCAGCGCTGCCACGAGCTACCTCACTCGCGCTCGGCCTCCTTGTGGCGTTCAGTCATAATGTGCACAGTCATAACTTGCTAATTGCTTTCTTTTTGATACACCATAAGTTTCTTCTTTTTTTTTTTTCCTTTTTGTCTTTTTTCGTGTCCAGCAACGGATTGCAAGCCTCAGTGTTGCGCCCGCACCGGACCGGGACCGGCAACGGGATCGCAACCCTCGGCACCACGCCCGCACCTCGCTCAGCCAGTGAGCGGGAACCGGTCTGTATGTGGGATCCGAACCCTCGGCGGGAGCGCCGCCGGCACACTGTAGCAGTGCGCCACCGGGCCGGCCCAATACACCGTAAGTTTCCATGTTGCAACGCGGTCCTTACCATGTCACGCTCTTTCCGTCTGTTTCCCAGGTTCTGAACCTTTGGGGTGTCACAGACCTCTCAGAAGTCAGATGATGCTCTCTCCTCATAAAACTGTGGGGCTCGTGGGGCCCCATTGAAACTCCCTGATCCAGCAGGTGAACCTTAATTAATTTACTTCCTTCTCTATGGTTGAATATTTAGGTTCTTTTCTTTTTTCACCGCTATAAAGAATACCATGATGAACATCTTCACACAAATTTTATTTTTCTTTCTGTAATGTGGGCTATTTCTTAGGACACACTCTAGGAGAGACGTTCTGGTTTAGGGAGCAGAAGCTGTGCTGCAGATCTTGAGGTCACCAATGCCCGTCCCCAGGGCAAGGTTGGTCGACATGTAACCAGCCATGGGCCTGGGCCGGGTAACTTTCAGGACAGAAATGAAGGACAAAATGCCACGGACCTTGTCTGGTAGTCCTCCTGCCCATCACAGTCCAAAGCCCTGATTTCTGACATTATGGAAGGCACGAGACTAAGCCCAGGACCCAGCCCCTGCTCACGGAAGCTCAGGGCCTCAGGGAGAGGAGGCGGGTCCTTGACCAGGAGTTGGCAGCAACAGCTCCCCTCGCCCACTCATTCCCAAGTAGGCCTGGGTGCTCCTTTGGTCAAGCATTTCCAGGCCGTCACCGTGTGGGGGCTGGAGGTCAAGGAGACCACAGGCTTTGGCAGGCGGCCTCGCCTTTTAGGAACAAGGCCCTGCCCGCTGTACCCCACAGGTAGCACACGAATGTGGATGGCCCAGGGGACATGCCACTTGTCTGACCACTCAGCCCACCTGTGAGCTACCTACCAGATGACACAATGTCTGGGGACCCTGGATCCCTGTTCCTCCTCCTGGCGGGTCCTCAGCCACGCACTCCACCTGCCCATGTAGTTCTTCAGTTCTGCCACTAGAGGGCTCCCGTGAGCCAGCCCACCTGCCCTGCCCTCCTGGGGGCTCAATGCCCAGGCAAATGAGGGACCTGCACTCCAGGGGCAGCTATGGGTGCACGCAAGTCCTCAGAGCCAAGCCCCCTGCGGGGTTCCCATCTTCTGGGGACCCCAGCCCCGACGTCCCTCCCTGCCCCAGTGCATAAGGACCTCTCTCCTTTGACCCTTCACAGCAGTGGTTCTAAACTCCGGCTGCACATTGGAAACCCCTGGGGAGTCCTAAAATACCAATGCCGGCGCCTCACCCCTGACAGTTTTGATTCAACTGGTTGGGTGCGGCCTGGGCATCAGGATTTTAAAAAGCTGCCCAGGGTGTTCTCATGAGCAGCTCAGTGGGGGGACGCCTGTTCTATAGCATTTAGTCAAGGGGTTTTTTGTTTGTTTGTTTTTTGGGTCTTTTTTTAAAGATGACCAGTAAGGGGATCTTACCCCTTGACTTGGTGTTGTCAGTTCCACACTCTCCCAAGTGAGCAACCAGCCATCCCTATATAGGGATCTGAACCCTTGGCCTTGGTGTTATCAGCACCACACTCTCCCAAGTGAGCCACGGGCCAGCCCAAGTCAAGGGTTTTTAATCAAGGATTTCCAGTCCCATCATGAGCCAGGCATGGCGGGGTGGGGAGGAGTGGCGCAAGACCACACACTGGACAGGGAGCAAAGGAGCAAGGAAACACTGGAAAAATGCAGATTCCAGGCCTGCCCCAGCCCCTTTCAGAATCCAGATCTGGTTTCTTTTTTAAAGCTCCCAGCAGTCTGCCATGCCTGATGGGGCTGGGGTTGGAGCCAGCCTTTGTGCCTCACCTATCACTTCCGTCCTGGAGACAGGCTCTTTTGTGTCAGCCCCAGATTGAAGCCCATGCTCCCAGAGGGCAGGGAGGGGTCCCATCACGTCCGTCTTGTCCCACCATAAAGCTGCTCTCACTGATATGGGCTTAGGGGAAGCAATGTGGATTACAGGGGTCCATGTGGAGAGGTCCCCAGGTGAGCAGCACTGTGACAGCAGCCACGTCAATGAGCAATTTCAGCACCTCCATCGTGAGCAGGGACAGGAGAAGGTGACCCCCCGCAGCCCCAGCCTTGGTGCAGGATGGCTCCCCAGGCCAGCCCTCCGTGTCCCTACGCCCTGCCCTCACCCTCACACAGACCAGTCCTACAAAGGGGTTGGTCACATTTCACATCCATAAGGCAGCTAAGTTTTGTCCACAGGAGGTAACTGCCTCAAGATCACACGACCGGGGGTAAGGTCAGGGTTTGGAGCAGATTCTACAGTTCACACCTTCACCACCGCCTGACTCACAACAGCTGCGGATGGGGTGGGCAGCTGGGGGGTGACAGCCACGCTCCAATGGGAACACAGGGAAGGGAGCGTTGGGGAGCACCCTCCTCGGCCTGGGGGATGGAGAAGGTTCCCCCTAGAGCCGGACATAAAGATGCCATTCAGATGGCGAAGGACCTTGGACCACAAGATAAGGAGACACCCTTAATCCTGAAAATGAAGGTGGCCACCAAAGGGTCCCCAAGCAGGGGGCAGCTCAGCTACCAGTACCGAATGTGCTCGGACCCTGCAGGTACCACTGCACTGCCAGCGTGGCACCACCAGGGGGGGAGCTCTGACTGAGCCCGGCCAGAGGGCCACAGGTGGGGGCTGGAATTTCGTCCCCAGCCTGGTCCGTCCCTGGTCCAAACACCTAACGGCTCAGTGGACCTCATCGGGGACCTGGAGTCCTCGGTTACATTATGGCTGACTGCTTCCTTTTATCAGCGTTCTCAAATACCTGAGGCAAATATTATCAGTTCACCCTTGGGCTATAATGGACCACATCTTATTGAGGGGATAAAATCAGGAAAGAATCCATCTCGAATCCTTTCTGCTGAGGCCAGCAGAGCATTCCGTGTCCCTGCACCCTGCCCCTTTTCTCCCTGGCTGACATCAGCCCGGTGTGACCTTTTGTGCGCTAGCCATGGCATAGACCCAGCAGGATTCAAATCCCAGCGTGGCTTGCATCCTGGATGGGTGACCTCCAGCAGGTCACTTACCTTCTCTGGGCCTCCCTTCCCCTTTTATGCAAAGGGGATAATATTAGGACCTCCCTCTCAGGGCCTGGGGTTCTTGAAAGCATAAAAACACGTAATCCGCAGCACAAAGTGCCTGGTGCCCAGGCAGTGCTCAGCCCGGCGATGTGCAGCAAGCACTTGGCTCACAGTGCAAGTTCAATAATTAATTATGTGCTGACTGACTAATGCCAGCTCTTACTATTGTCTATTGTTATCACCATTGTTTGCCTAGAAATCTGATAAGCCCAAGGACCACATCCAGGGCACAGGAAGGGACTGCAGAAGTCACATGTGGCCATGTCTTGTGCTTCCTCAGTGCTCTGGTGCAGCCACACCGTTCATGAGCCTCGTGCAGCCCACCTCTGTAAGGCTCCGAGGACCCCAAAGATGCTGGGTGGTGGACACTGTGGCCACCTCGACCCCATCAGGGTGGTTCTTGAGCTCCGAGGCACAGGGAATCCACTACAGGTCACAGGTCAAATTCCTGCCCCTTCCCAGCCCCCACTAGTGTGGCCTGTGCCACAAGTCCAGCCGCCAACAAGTCCAGGCACTCTGGCTCCCCTGGGGTGTGCGGTGGCCGCCGAGTAGGGTGAACACCGCCAACATTCCTCTGTGGCTGCATTCCAGCTCCACAGCTCACAGACACGAGGAACAGAAAGGCTAACGTCACGCGGGTCCCAGCGAGCTGCTCACGTGCCTGGTGGGCTGCACGGCGCAGGTGGAGCCTGGCTGGGGACCAGCAGAGCAACAAAACTGGGCTCAAGCCAGCCCTAAAGCTTTGCGATGCCACCCAGGCCTCTTGGCACCTGCCTGGGGGCCCTGGGAAATCCAGTCATCTCTTGCCCTATCCTCCATGAGAACAGAAGAGACTGGGACTCCTGGGACTTGGCCTCAGCCATGGGCTGGTCAGACCTGGCAGGGACTGTCTAGTCCTAAGTGAGAGTAGAATGTGGGAGCCCCACTGCACATCCTTCACAGTCCCCTCCGCCAGGGACCTGGGGCCAAAGCCCTGACCATGGGGAGCGGGGGCACCCAGAGCAGCCGCAGGACTGGGTGGGCAGGCGGCCTCAGCACTCAACACGGTGGCGACACACTCAAAGGCCCACCCCGGAGAGCCACACTCGGCGTCAGGAACTCACCTGCCCTCGCTGTCCAGGAACACGGAGCTGCTGCTCTCCGCCAGGGCCGCGCTGACGGGCGAGAGGCAGAAGGGCGAGGAGAAGGCGTCCGAATCCGAGTCGAAGGAGCTGTCCCTGCTCACGCCCTCGGCCGACAGCTCCAGGGAGCCCTCCTCCTCTGCGGCCTCGGGCTGCGGCTCCCGCCCCTCCTCGGTTCCGTCCTGCGAACTGACCGTGGACAAGATTCCGGAGTCACTGTGGATCGGCTGCGAGGCCAGGAGGGGTCCGTCCACCCCCAGGTCCTGGGCCAGCCGTTCCCCATCCTCTGGCAAAGGGCTGACGTGCACGGCGTCCTGGAGGCTCTGGGCCACCACCAGCATGTCCTCGTCTTTGGGGGTCAGTGTGGGCCTCGGCTCCGTAGGGGAGGACTGGTGAGGGGTCCCCGAGCTCTGGGTGCGCCTGGCCCGGGGGCGGGGGGCCCTGCGCACGGGAGAGCTCTCCGGGGTGATGTAGCGCAGGGCCTCCTCGTCCTGCCGCTGGATCCGAGAGTTGGGGACCCACGCCAGGATGAGGGTGGCACCCAGCAGCTCATCCTTCTCCATGTACAAGCACAGGTAACCTGTGAGAAGCCAGAGGACGGGCGGGTTAGGGGGCCACGCAAGCTGCCGGCGAGGCCCTTACAGAGCCTCGGCTGGTTTCCCGTAGTGGCCACCACCTTCTTTAGCAAACCAGTCGGGTTTCAGACACAGCCACCCTGAGCAAAAAATTCCAGGGACATAGCTGAGCTTGAAATGAATCAAAGCTAGGGGCATCTTCTATGCACACACACTTCAGCAGATCCAAGGACCCTGGTCCCTAAGCAGTGGACTGCCGCGTGCGTTTCCAAGCACGGGGAGCTCTCCTGGTGCTCGGAGCACCCACCTGACTACCACCCCATCGCCCCAGAGCCTGTCTGCCTGCCTCGGCCTCCTCGTCTGGGACCCAGCACCACAGCTGCACAGCGCTGTCAGGAGGGGTGAAGCCTGGACACTTGATTTCTACTGCACAAAAAGCGTACATCCGAGATGGGTGGGGGTTGGGCCTTTTCCGACCAGCCGTGGCAGGCTTGGTGTTTTTAATGCAGCTTTTTGGACAGAGGGACCATCTTTCGTGGCTGCCTGTTGAGCAGCGTGGCCACATGCTGGATTGCTGATGGGGCAGAGAAGAGCTGTTTCTCCACCACCAGCACCAGTGGGTGGACGCTCGGTTTTGGAGGAAGAGGGTATTTCCTAATGCAGCACCAAGCCATTTTGGGGTATCCCGATTCCTGGCCTACGGTGCCTCTGCACCCCTGTGTCCACAGCCTCCCAGTGCAGGAGCTGCGCACCCTCAGCCACTTCTCCTGGGGCTCGGGCTCCACCCAGAACCTCCTTAGCTCTGTTCCTCTTCCCAAGAGAGGTTGGGAAACTCGGGGACTGTCAACCAGTTGTGCATAAGGACAGCATGAGTGAGGCCAAGTGTGTCTACACCCTCAAATCACACAGCTCTGGGATCAGGAAGGGAGCCTAAGACCTCTGCTCCCCTGTCCCTCTCTCTGTCCCTCTGCCCAGAACAAGAAACACCCTCAGACCTGGCCTAGAACCTCTGCCCTTCCCCCGCCATACCCCTCCTAGGGCGAGGCATCCGCAGGGCCAAGAGGCTGAGCCTCCAGAGCTTGCACCCCCCTCCTAGGGCACATTCCGGGGACCCAGCACCCGGAATTCCCTGCCCACAATACCGAGCCTGAGGCCCGGTGGGGTGCAGGATAGAGCGGGGCGTGGAAGAGAAGGGGTGCTGGAGGCGGGAAGCAGCCCCCCCGCTCTGCAGCCTGGATACCCTGGTCAAGGCAGGATAGAACACACTCTTTAAACATGTCATTAGCATAATTTAACCTTTCTGTCTTGTTTAATTATGTATTTATTCATTACTCTATTGAAACATAATTTGCATACAGTAAAGTGCCCAGATCTCATTGTAATCTATAACTTTTAAATATCTCAACATCTGGTCTGGGGCCTCTGTCTGCATTCTGGACCTGGGCCCCGAAAATGTTACGGCGGCCTGAGCAGAAGAGAGGAAGCAAGTCCCTGCCTTGCTGCAGGACGCCAGGGACCCTGCATCGCCCTTTCGGCAGCCTCAAGGAGCAGCAGGAAGAAAGGAGGGGGGTTCAGACACGGCCCTCCAGCCCCAGCTCCACCACAGACTGGAGCTATGTGGTCCACAGAGTCCTCACCCACCAAAGAGGCCTGCCCAGGACTCCTGCTACTCTCGCGAGGCTGTGCACATTAAATAAAGCAATCCAGGAATAAAGCGACGTATTTATTTGTGGCAAGTCATTTGCACAAATGACAAAGGACCATGCAGGCCTCGTGTGTCTCTAACCCATCTTTGTGTTCCTTCCTCGGGGGCAGCAGGGCTGAGTGACTCACCCGGCCTGCTCATGGGCTGGACCTGACACCCCAGACCTGGCCCCCCTCCCGGGAGGACAGCCACAGTTAGTTGCACGTTCTGGAAAAGAACCAAATGCACTGTCTTTCTCATGTGCTGTGGCTCTCGGCCCTTTACTGCCCTGAATCAGGACATAGCCTGGGCCCCGCACATACACAGAAAGCACAGTCTCCTTCTCTGTGGCTCTGCAAAAGATAAGCAAAGTCACTGTCACCACAGAAAAGGTGTCCCACCCCAGGAGCACGAGTCAGGAATTGCCACAGGTGATACGAGGGGTCCCTCTCCATCCCTGCAGAGCCCAGATGAGAGAGTTTCTTTCCCTAATTTTTAAGCGGTGGGATTCAAGGGCAGAGGGCAACTGGGACCAGTGAACTCCCGGGAATTTCGGCCCATTTCCCTCAACCCTCGCTGCCTGATGCTCCAGCCTGTTCTTGCCCCGGCCCTCCGTGTGGGCGGGAAACCTTGAGGGATGGGGGGGGTTCTCATTCCAGACGTGGGGGGCTGAGGACAGAGTCCCAACCTTGGCAGTGTCCCCAGGGGGAGGGGTCCTGCTCCCCTCACCTGGGGGGCTGGGGGGGGCTTCCTGCCCCTGCAGCCCTTTAGTGGCTCTGACACCCTCTGAAGACCTCAGTGGACTTGCAAATCCCATTAAATTCCCCTTAACCCACCCTGCCCCACCAGAGTCACGGACTCTTTTCACAGATGGGAAATTAGGCTGGATGAGGAAGTGAAACGGAGCCCTCTGAGGCTGGGGCCTGGTGACTTGAGAGGTGCATTGAGCTGTCCCCAGGCTGCAACCTCGGGGGCCTCCCCTCACCAGTTTATGACCTCGGGGCCTCCCCCCCCCAGGCCTGCGATTGCAGGGACGCCCTCCCCCACTCACCCGGGTGGTGCGCTCCCAGCCCCTGCAGCCCCTCGGGTGGGTGCACGCAGACATTGTTCTTGGAGTAGATGATCTCGCCATCCAGGATGGAGGGGGGCCCGCTGCCACTGCCACCTGCAGTGAGGGTCAGGAGGTCTGAGGCTTTGGAGGAGGCCCGGCGAAGGAGGCGGCCGAGAGACATTTTGGGGCAAGTGTTTCCATCCTCCGCAGGCTGCAGCCCAGGCGGGGCTCACCAAGACCTGCCTGGGGGAGGCAAAGGAGATGCATCAAGATCAAGGCCACAAGCTTGGGCTGGGTGTCCCAGGGCTGCATCCTGCCTCACACTAGCAGGTACCCACGGATGCTGGTGAACTGCAGGAGCAGGTCCTGCCAGCGCAAGGCTGCATATGGGGCAGCCGGGTTGCTCTGTGTGGGGCCACCCTGTGCGTTGCAGGATACTGAGCAGCTTCCCTGGGCTTGACCTCCTAGAGGCCATTAATACCTCCCTCTGCAGGATGACAACCAAAAATGTCTCCAGGAATTGCCAAATGTGCCCTGGCGGGCAAAATTGCCCATTGAGAACCATGAGGCTAGAGGAACCTTGTTCCCAATGTAGCAACCTCATAAAATCCTCCGGGCTTTCTCTCTGCCCAGTTTTCACCTGCATCCACACAAAGGAGCCCTTCCTTCCTGAACGTCTCACCCCTGCTGCACCAGATCCTCCTTCCTCCTTCCTCCTTCCCAGCCTCCTCCTCTCCCCTCACCCTGTGTGTTCCCAGCATCCTAATGCCCAGGGTGTCACAAATAATATTTGAAGAACCTGAGTTTACATATGATTCATTTTTTAAAAATGATAAACTAGAAACAAAAGGATCAGTATCCAGAATATATAAAGAACACGTACAAATTCACTGCAAAAAGGAGCAATATCCCAATTTAAACGAGCAATTTACACAAAAGGAAAACCAAAGAACTGATAAACATGTAAAGAGATTCTCAGTTTCAAACAAAAATCCAACACCCAACAGACGGGCATGAAGCAATTTTAAGCCTAAAAGTCTTACACGGGGAAAGGCTGTGGGGACAGAGGCTGTGGGGACAGAGGCATTCTCACCGGCTCTGGTCTACTCCAAGGCATGGGAGCCATTCAGCAGAGTGCGGCACATTTGAGAACACCCAAACCTGGAAATTTCACTTTGATACCCTAGGCTGGTTTTTCAAACTGCAGGATGTAGCCTTACAGTGAACTCTGAAATCAACTTAGCAGGTCAAGACTGGCTTAAGAGGAAAAAAGAGAAGAAAGAATAGAAAATACCCGTGTACTCTGGCTATAGCTGGGCTCAGCACTGGGCATGAAGCTTCTGCTCTTAGAGGACAGACCTGTGCACGTATGGCAGCCTGGGACATGTAAAGTGTGTACTGATGAGTTCTGTGACCAGAGACGTTTGAAAGACTGCCTGGAGAAAGCTAACGTAAGGAGACGCCTCCGAGGATGCCTTGGCAGCCGGTTTACACCAATAAAACTGGAAACTCCCAAAGGTCTGTGCAGCAGCTGCACGAACAATCACACGTTTGCACATGGAAGGAGCTCAGAAATATGCACGAAACGAGCCATGAATGGCCTGGTCACAGATTATAAATGTCCAGAGCTCACGGCTGGCAGGGTGCAGGCCGCTACTTAAGAGCTCAGGGGATGGGGGGGATAGTCCGCAGAGGGGCTTCAAGTGCGTCTCTTTGAAAGAAAAAAAAAGATTTGAATGGAATATAATAAAATTATCCTGGGAGTAGATACACAAAATGTGGTACAGTGGACTCTATTTCAGCCTTAAAAAGGAAGGCAATTCTGGACCGGCCCGGTGGCTCACTCGGTTGAGTGCGGCGCTTGGGAGCGTGGCGGCGCTCCCGCCAAGGGTTCGGATCCCATATAGAGACCGGTCCGCTCACTGGCTGAGCGTGGTACGGGTGCGACACCGAGGGTTGCGATCCCATTGCCGGTCGCGGTACGGGAGCGACACCGAGGGTTGCGATCCCGTTACCGGTCACGAAAAAAGACAAAAAGAAAAAAAAAAAAAAAAAAAGGAAGGCAATTCTGACAGGCGCATGGCCTGGATGGACCTTGAGGACACTATGCTGAGTGAAATAAGTAAGCCAGTCACAAAAGGACAAGTACTGTAGGATTGCACTTACATGAGGTCCCTAGAGCAGTTTGATTCTTAGAGACAGGAAGTAGAATGGGGGTGCCAGGGGTTGGGGAGGGGGATGGGGAGCTGGTTTTTAATGTGGACAGAGTTTCAGTCTAGGAAGATGAAAAAGTTCTGGAGATGTATGTGCTTAATGCCACTGAACTGTGCACTTAAGAATGGTTAAAATGCTAAGTTTTATGTTATTTGTATCTTGCCAAAATAAATTTTAAAAATATTGATTGGTAAAGAGTCTCGGGTATTTTACATTGTTCTTTGAGTTTTCTGTATTTTTTACATTTCTCCAAAAATCTGGAACTGATTGAGGGTGTCCTCTAAATCAAGTTCTTTCGCCTCCAGCACTTGGATAGGCACCAGGGTGGAAGGTAGGGGCTGGGGGGTCCCAGCCGGCTCAGCAAGAGAAGCCCCACCCCGAAGGAGGTGGGGGGATGGGTCTCCGAGTGACAGCACCATCCCAGGACCAGGTGGCTCAATGCTTGATCTTCAGCCCCATCTACCTCTTGGGGTGTCCCTCCTCTGACCCCCAACTCTGTTCTCCCCACCCCACCCCACCCCGGCACAAACCACAGCATTCTACAATCTTCCAGCCAGCACAGGAGCTGCCCTTCCAACTGGAAGATACACCACTGCCGTCTCCGCCCTCACCCAGGTTCCCGATGTCAGCATCACCTCTGAAAACCATCAGTCCTGAGGGCTGGCACCCAGCTCAGGTCCTCGCCTCGGATGGCACACCCCTGATCTTGACCATATCGTAGGCCCTGAAATCTGCTTGGCTCTCCCTAAACCACCCCTTCTCTGGCATCTCCCTTTCCCAACACTTCCAATGTGAGCTACAGAATGAAACTGACACCTCAAACTTGTTCTGCAAAGGACCAGAGAGTAAACACCTTTTGCTCTCTGGGCCAGACCGTCTCTGCCCACTGAATGCTGCCCTTGTAGAGTGTGACTGTGTAACAGTAAAGCTTCATTTATAGATGCTGAAGCTTGAATGTCATATAAACTTCATGTGTCACACACAACAAAATTCGTTTGATTTTTTTCCCAACCATTTAAAAATGTAAAAACCATCCTTAGCTCAAGGGCTGTACAAAACAGGCCTGACACTGGATTTGGCCTGCGAGCTGTGGATGGCAGACTCCTGGCACAGACCATTTTCTGGACTATTGGACCAAGTCCCGGATTCTCTTCTCTGGCTGTCCAACTCGCCTCCCAGCCAACATCTCCAGGAAGCCTTCCGGCCCCTCCTGGTCTAAACACTTCTCCGCACTCTGTGACATATGACAACCAAGTTATGAAACTTAAAAAAAAAAAAAACACTGCAACCTACACACCAAAAAATGTGTTGTCTTTCCCATTAACCACCTCATAAAGCTATATCCTTATTCTCATGATGCCCCTGCTGTCCAGAATGTTTTTAGAATTCAAGAATTCTTCAAGAATTACACAGCCCGTTAACAAGCCATACAAGAAAACTAATCCCCTTTCTCTAGACCAGGTACTCCCAATAGAAATATAACATAAGTCACACATATAATTTTAAATTTTCTTATAGCCGCATTTTAAAAAGTAAAAAGATACAAGTGAAATTTATTTTAACGTTTTTAAATTCAGTATATCCAGAGTATTATCATTTCAGCCAATGAAATGATATATAACCAATATAAAAGAGTTATTGATAAAATATTTTACATTCTTAAAGCTTTCACAGTCTGGTGTGTATTTTGCACTGAAGCACATCTCGGTTCCGACCAGCCACATTTCGGGTGCTCCGTGGCCTGCCGTGGTCCGTGGCCTCTGGAGTGGACAAGCTCCACCTCCTTGTGAGTTTCAAGTGGTCATTTAGTGTAATGACCCTAATCACCAGACATGGCTGCAAACAATTCTCAGCTCCTTCCCAAAATCAAAACCGTCTTTAAGTAAAGGTGTTTTGCCACCATTGAAGATAATCAAAAGAATGTGCTGGAAGTTTTGCAGGTGATTCCAAAAGACAAGTGTTCATACTACGGTGTTTTCCCATGTACCGTCAGATGTGAAACCTCACCGCGGCTCTGTGAGGTATGTCCTGGAAGTGCAGTTTTGCAGATGAGAAAACAGGTTCCAAGCACCCAAAGTCATTTAGTGAGCAGAAAACCCTGGAACCTGAGACTGTTGTCCTCCAGATGCAGAGTTCCAGCTCCTCCTCCACCCCCTGCCACCTGGGTGCACAAGACAACCCCAGATTGTTCTGGAGAGACCAGTCTCCCTTTGGATAAATCAGGGCACATCTGTTAAACATTAGCCAGGATTATTTACTCTTTTAAGACAATTCTTATTAAAAAATGCATTTGCTGGGCCGGCCCGGTGGCGCACTGGAGAGTGCGCTGCTTGGGAGTGCGGCGGCACTCCTGCCAAGGGTTCGGATCCCATGTGGAGACCTGTTCCCGCTCACTGGCTGAGCGCGGTGCGGGTGCAACACCGAGGGTTGTGATCCCGTTATGGGTCAGTAAAAAAAAAAAAGACAAAAAAAAAAGGAAAAAATGCATTTGCTTTTTTGTGAGCCTATTTCATCTAAATTAAACCTGGTTCCTAACCTCTGGTCTCCACCA